CAGGCTGAATATTTACAAATTATGTGCACTTTTACATACGCGTGTGTCACAGATTCAGTCGGACCTTGGTTCACGAATTTAATTCTTTCCTTAATTTTGGCAGCCAACTGAATTGGACAAGAACCAAATCAAATTTCCTCACGAGTCAACACTGACTCTAATCATTGAATTTGATTTGGTTTTTGTCCAGTTTGGTTTGTGACCTGAATGGTGGAAGGAATTAAGTTTGTGAACAGAGATATTACTGCATAGTTAAATAAAAGATGGTGTAAAAGTGAAGGGGCATGGGCTGGGGATTTAGCTCTGTGGCATAGGTGCCAGCCTGGCAAGCACGAGGTCATGAGTTCGATCCCTGGTACCAAAAAAAAAAAAAAAAAAAATCACATCATCATCTGAATTAACACAGAAAAATGTTTTAAACCAGGTGTGGTGGCTCATTCCTATAATCTTAGCACTCAGGAGGCTGAGGCAGGAGAATCATTTGCAAGTTTGAGACCAGCTGGGCTACAAAGTGAGCCCAAGGCCAGTCTGAACTGCACAGCGAGACCCTGTCTCAAAAAGATAAAAAAGAGGGAGCATTCACACATCTATGTTTATCACAGCATTAATCATCATAGCAGAGGTGGAAGCAGCATAAGTATCCGTGGAAGGGAGAGTAGGTAGGCAGGTAGCTCAGTGGTGTGACACGCAGCAGGGAGAAGGCTGTGATTCCATCCCCAGCACTCCAAGGAAAAAGAAAGAAAAACTTGAATGAAATATTATTCAGAAGGAAAATTTTAAAAAAAATTAAAATTTTATTTAAATAAAGACCAAAAACAGAAAATATGTGGAAATAATACATATGTTCAGAGAAAAAAATAGACAGTAAGAAACCACTAGTTGATGTTTACATATTGTCGTTTTACAAATAGTTGTTCAATATACAAAAATGCAACATGTATAGTGGGAATTCAAACAGCGAGACTGCAACCAGTTCTGTTCAATGGTCCAACAAAAACTTAGTAAGATGGTTGTCAATCCTATACACTTAAACATACATGCGGTTATCCATATCTTAATTTATGTTTAGATTAAAAAACTAAAGCAGGTTAAAATCATTCTGAACAAAGAATAATAGTATTGCTGTATTTCACATCATGACATTCCATGATCAGCACTGGGTACTTTAGTGTCTTTTTTTAAAAATTTAATTTAAAGAAAGACTAAACAAAAACAGAAAACAGGTAGAAATAATACATAATTTCAAAGAAAAAAAATGAACAGAAATTACTAGTTGATGATTACACATTCTCTTCTTCTTTTTTTTTATTGGTACTGGGGATTGAACTCACGACCGCCTGCTTGCAAGGCAGGTACTTATGCTGCTGAGCTAAATCCCCAGCTCCACAGAATGTCTTCTTACAAATAGTTATTTGAGATACTATAGTGGAGCATATAAAGTAGGGATTCAAACAGTGAGATTGCAACCAGTTCTGTTCAACTATCCAACAAAAACTTAGAAATATGGTTATCAAACCTATTCATTTAAACGTACATGCAGTTATCCATATCTTCAATTATGTTGAGACTGAACAAACCCAAGCAGGCTAATATTACTCTGAACAAAGAATAATACTAGTGCTGGGTTTCACATTATGACTCCAGGATCAGCACTGGGTATTTTAGTGTCTCTTTTTCTTCAAAGTATCTGTTCATTTAATCATGTGTCATAAGATCAGTTCTCATAAACTGTTTATAGATTCTACACATGCATGAGTCTTAATATGTATTTCTATCCTTTCTATATTAGAGGGAGAAACAAAACAAAGCAAGGCAAAACAAAACATATTCCTATAAACACATGAAACAAAATAAACATATAAGACTGTTGTACAAAGAGTTCTACCATGGTTCCTGTGTTGTCTCCAATAGAATTATCACCAATAGAATTGGCTATATCATCAGACATAGTAAAATTGAATATATCAGTACATAACAGTATTAATAAAAACACAACTTTGTATATGGTATAGAACTTCAAAAACCAGCAGTTATCAAACCAAAATGTGTATCGTAGAGTCTTGTCATCTTCAGTGTAGTTGCCTATACTCTCAGACTTGATACTTCAAATCTGAGAATAAAATCTTCTCTGCTTCATTTCTGTTATGCTCTTTTTTGCCATCAGTTGTCTGCTTATCTTCTTCATTCTGTTTTCTGCTCCATTCATTGAGGCTTCTCTGCCACTGTTCCTGGAATCCTAGTACTTTTCTCTCTCTCTAGAATGCCCTGCAGTATTCTCTGTAGTGTTGGATTGGTGGTTGCGAATTTCCCAAGTTCCTCTTTGTTTTGGAAGCATCTTGTTTCTCCATTAATTTCTAGGGACAGTTTATCAGGGTATATCAATCTGGGTTGGAGGTTATTTTCTTTCAGGGCTTGGAATACTTAACCCCAGGTTCTTCTTGACTTGATGGTTTGTGTCGAGAAGTCTGCCATTATTCTGATGGGCCTTCCTCTGTAGGTTATCTGTTTCTTGTCTCTAACAGCTTTTACTGTTAGAGACAGCAATATAAGAACAGTATTCTGTTCTTATATTGAATTTCTAGGATCTTGATTATTATATGCCTGGGTGTAGCTCTGTTTTGGTTGTAGGTGGCTGGCGTTCTGTATGACTCATACATCTGCATATCATTTCATTTTTCTATGTTTGGGAAGTTTTCCTTAATTATTTCTGTGAATAGCCTTTATAGTTCTGTTGTTTGTACCCTAGTTTCTTCATTCACATTCTTTATTCTCAAGTTATAGATCCTTTTGTTGTCTTTTATTGTTACTACTTATTGTCTTTGTATTGTTACTACTTATTTCCTTGTTATTTTTAAAAAGTTTTTCCCTTTCATACTCCCACATTACAAAATTGTCCTCCAGCTTGGATAATCTATCCTTAGTTTCTTTCAAGCTGATTTGCCATCTTTCCTTACAGTTTTTAATTTCCTGGTGATCTCTTTGAATCTGCTTCATGTATTCTATATTTTTTATATTCTTCACCAAATGGTTCTCTCCTTTGTTTGAGTTCTTCCCTTCTTCTGTTTGTGTCTGGTTGAGGGGTGCTTAGTATCTCTTTTATTAATCTTCTTATATCTTGCTTTATTTGGATAAATATTTCAATTTTGAACTCGTCTATTAGATCCCGAATATATCTCTTTATGTCCACTGGCACTGTATCTGATATTGCATGTTTGCTGTTCTCATTCTCCTTTGTATTTACCTGTCCTGGGTCAATGTTCTCAGGGTTGGGGCCTGGGGACTTTTTGTTGTTGCTTCCTCTTCCCATCTTTTTTGCTTCTTCCAGGACACCCCAGTTTCTTTGTTAGTTACAATTCTTCTGAAGTGTACTGGCTAGAGAAGACCCTTCACACTGCAGTGTGCTAGTGAGTTGCAGACAGGGACAGTGTATGCTGGCCCCTCCCCTCCATATCAGTCAAGCTGCTGTGGCCTGCACTGTATCACTTTGCCCTGCCTCCCCTCTGGACCAGCCAGACCTCCAAGGTCGACTGGGTCAGTGTGGTTATTGTGCACCATCGCTGCAGGAACTTGACCTCGGATATCCTGTTGGTCTCAGCCAGGTCATGTGACCCAGGCCTGGCTCAGTCCACCAATCCCATTTGTGAAGGGAACAAATGACTGAAGTCACTGTTGCCCCTTGTACTTGCCAGTCCTGCCTGGTCCCAGAATGTCATTCACTGGAGCCCCCCTATTTATGGAATGACTTCACTCCCATCACTCATCACAGGTTGATGTAGGCACCCTGCCATCTCAGTCCTCCATTAGGCTCGCTGACCCCTGAACTCAATGTAACTGTGCCTCCAGTGAGTCAAAGTGGCGGGACCTTGAACGGCTCGGCAAGTCACGGTGGGACCCCAGCAAATCACGGCGGGACCTCAGCAAGTAGACAGCAATATAATTTTTTCTTGGGATGAAATAATTCATCTCCCTCTGTTTGGGGCTCCCCACTCTGTATTATGTTGAATTCTGAGTTGACTATCTCTGTAGCCAGTTGTTATATATCCACCATCTTTTTTTGGTCCACCAAATTAAAAAAATTTTAATTTAAAGAGAATAAAACAAAACAAAGCAAAACAGAACCAAGCAGATCAGAGCAAAACAATGCAAATAACACAAGACTTTAAAACAAGACAACAGGAAATCAACAATGGCTAGCACAATGTCTCTTGTTTTCTTTGAAACAGTTGTCCATACCCTCATACACAATAAGTTAATACAAAACAAAATAGAGCAATCAGAACAAAAGAATGAGAATCTTATGGGCCTTCAAAATTAGACAATAGGAAGTCAGTAATGGCTACCATAATGTCTCTTGTTTTTTTCAAAATAGCTGTCTATACCTTCACACATACTAAAATCACATAATTGAAAACATACTAAAACCAATCAAAACCAAGAATAAGAGCACTACTAGACTTCAAAAAAATGATAAGAAATCAGCAACAGCTACCATGATGTCTTGTTTTCTTTATTGTAGTTGTTCATGCCCTCACGCATCCTAGAACCAATTCTTGTAAACTCTTTAGGTGAAGTTCTATGCATATAAAAGCCTATACATGTACATCTATCCTTTCTGTATTAGAAAAACAAAACAAAACAAAGAATAAGAAAAACAAGAGTCAAATAAACAACTATAACAAAGAACCCCAAACAATAATACTGTAGGCTTTCAAAACAAGGTGGTAGGAACATAACAAATTTTGTTGTTTTGCAGAGGTAGGATGCCATGTGGACCCAGTTTCTGCTGATCTATGGGAAGTCACCATCTCCATGGTGGATAGGATCTGTTTTCCCAGTCCTTAGGTTTGTAAAGGAATAGGTCACTCCCACTCGTAGTACCCAGCTGGCACCTAAGAAGGCTTATGTAGGCCACTTCTGAGGCATAGCCAGGAAGGCGTAGGTGGAGAAGAGCTCATGTAATCAACCATGCTCTCCTCACACACAGTTCTAGGCTTGTTCCTCACAGAGCAGCTTCTTAGACGCAGACCATGGCTGTCCTATCCCTGGTGCTGCTGCTCGGCCTGCCCGTCTTTCTCCTGGGAGTCTTTATCTGGGCTGTTTTAAAGCATTTCCTCACAGCAGAAGTCCCTTCTACCATGCCATATCCTGTCAAGTTACGATTTCTGCATTGTTTGATCCTATATGTGATCGCTTTGGTGAGTTCACCTTCAGGCTCCCATCATGAGTTGGGGTTGCTGTCTATGTATGTACATTTGCTCTTTCATTTATTTTCTCTCTCTTTTTCTACATCCCTCCCAAGAGTTCACTACGTTTTTTGTATCTGCTATTCTTTTCTCCCCGTCTCCTCATTTCCTTCCTTCCCTCCTCTGTACCTTTCTTTCCTCTCTCCTTTCCTCCCACTCTTCTTCCTCTCCTCCTCCCCTCTGCCCTTCCTCCATATTATCTCTGCTGTCCCTAGCTCTGCACTTCTCTTCCCTCAGCAGCAAACATTTACCAAGTGCCAATCATCTGGTTCTTTCCCGAGGATTGAAAACAACTTGAAAACCAGTCACAGCACATCAAGGGCTTGGAGGATGCACGTTCTCTTCAGCGAGGTCGTCTCTTCCTCCGAATGCTTACCTGTCTCCAAGTGTTGGAGACAAGTGTTTGCCTTGCCTGAGTGTGAACACCTGGAGGGCAAGGGCTGCTTAATCTAGCTTCTCCTGGTAGGCCCCCCAAATACAGAGATTAATGCCTCAAAAGTGCTACTTGTTGGTAAATTTCTAGATGAATTCAGCTAGATTGTCAGGGTGACACTGCCAGCCAGGCTCTGAGCAGGGGTATGGGCTGGAAAGATGCTGCATGCAGTATATATTTGCAATTACAGCAAATGGAGAAAGAGTAGTTTCTTCTTGAGGTAATTCCAGTGTCCCAATCTTGGATGGGGACCTGAAGAGGCCAAAGAGTTTGCAGTTAATTACTTCTGAGGACAACCTTGAAGGACAAAGTGAGGTGGGGTAGAGGTCAGAAGCAACCACAGCAGCCACAATGTTCATGCATTTTATCGCTGCCTCTCACTAACTATGTGATCATGGCCATTTGTTTAATCTCTCTCTGTCTTAGTTTTTCCTCTGTAAAATGGGGGTAATAGTACCTGTCATATCTGGCTGGTAAAAGCATCAGATTATATGTATGGTGGTTAGCTCAGTTGTTGAGTTTCATTGGATTTGGGAGCCACTGAGGGGTTTGTAAAGCAAACTTCTGAGTGTCTCTAGGTGGATCATAGGTGCATGATTTTGGATATTGTATTTGTTTCTCTGCCTCTTTCTGTTTTCCTCTCTGCTTCCCGGCTGCCATGAAGTGAGCAGCTCTCCTCTGCCATGCCCTTACATCATGCCATTTTGCCTTGGAGCCAGCTGATAATGGGATGAACTCTGAAAATGTCAGCCAAAGGAATCTCTCTTCCTTGGACCCTCCAAGGGGAGGCCATCTAGGCTGTAACCTTCGGATTGTGGGAGTGACAAATTGATTGGAAATTGTGGGAGTGACAAATTGATTGATGGGAAAGTGACAAATACAGAAAATTGGTACCAGAGGAGTGGAGTTGTTTCTATAACATGCAATGCAGAAATCTGAACTTGACAGGATATTGCGTGGTAGAGGGGACTTCTGCCTGGTTATCTGGTCCATCTAGATGCCTTTGGAATTTGTTTGCAGGTGGAGTTTGGAAAAATTTGGAGATGAGGTCTTAAGAAGCCCTAAAATGCTGTAAGTAGAACTTGAAGGGAGATTCTGATCAGAGCTCAGGACACCAGAGCACTGATATGAATAGGAAGAATAAAGGACAACTTCACTAGTTTTAGGTTGAGAGTGAAGATTTTTGGAAGCTACTCTAGAGGCTGTGTATGTTACATCTAGAGGCAGAAAATATGAATATACTTAACCCATGTCCTGAGTCTTTAAAGGATATGGAATAAATGATCCAATAAAGAAATGTTAAAGCAGTCTAACATTCAGTCTGTGGCATTGTTACTACTGGCTGGTTTTAGCCATTTTTATAGTGAGAATTGTGATAAAAATTCAGGGCAGAAAAATTTTAGAAACTTACATTTTGGTCTAGAAAAAAAATATAAATTTGGGGTAAAGGAGGTGTGGCTGCTGAAGAGATTAGTCCATCAAAATGAAAGGAAGTATTTTTACAAGCACAAGAAAAAAAGATGCCTTGAGGGCTTGCAGGAATCCTCAAGACCCCATTCATTGCAATCTCCAAGGTGCAAAAGTGCAAATATTTCATTTGAGAAGGTAGTCTGTGGGCCCCTGCTCAAGAAGGGCTGCCTGGGTAATTGGTTTCCTGGGATTTATTTCACTATGTTTGCTGATTCAGACCCTTTGAGGTTGCTCTTGCCATGGTCCAAAAGGGTCCATACAGAATGTAAGAATGCAGAATGCAAGAATTGTGGGTTCAGGGAGACTTCTCACTTTTCAAAGGAAGACCTATTAGTCTAGGCACGGAACTCCGGAGAGGGCAAGCTGTGAAAGAGAAGCTTAGGGTACAGTGGAGATCTTAGGGAGTTGGAGATGCCAGGAATGTGAATGTAGAATGTGTGTTGAGGCAAACTACAGGCTTGGAGTGGAACCAGACAAACAGAGATGATGTGGGCTGCAACCTTCAAGGCTGTAAGAGCGGAGTTGTCCCATCACTCTAGAAATTGCATCTCCTCATCATGCGTGTCAGACGCTGGGCATGAAATTACAGGACTTAATATTTCCCTGTTGTATTCTGGTGTTATTTTTTCCCTCTCATTCCTTCCTTTCAGGATGCAAATATTTTCCCTGTGGCATTGTACTAGGGGGATTATGTAACTCATGCTCTATTTTTTTTCAGAGGTTTGCAGCTAAGATTTGCCTTGAGTTTTCAAAGTGACTTTGATTTGGACTTTTCAAAGGTGCTAGGACTCTTGAGACTTGGGTGGAAGGGATTATTACACTCATGGTTCTACTTGGGATAGTTGTAGCATGTTAGATGAAATTATTAATTGTGCTTATTGGGAGATTAAATGTGATTTAGGGAGATGCATATGTGTGTCAAGTTGATGCGGAGTAGACTGTGATGGTTAAGCTTGTGTCAGCCTGATTGCCTTGGGAGGCATAGTAGTCCAGCTGAGGGTATATTATTCCAGGCTTCTTGGTGCCTTTGAGTGGGCCACGTCGGCCTGACTTTGGGTGTCATATCTCGCCTCTTGCTCCTGCATTCTAGGCACTGTTTCCATGCTCTACTTCCCAGCCAGCATGAAGTGAGCATGTTTGTGCCATATTGTCCTTTCACCATGCTGCTTCTGCCTTGTAATCCATGGACTGAACTCCCTGAGACTGTAAATCAAATGAATTTCTCCTTTAAGTTGCAGGTGTTCAGTATTTTGTCCTAGTGGTGGAAAAATGACTAACACAACCTATGATAAGGATTAATAGATTAACAATATTTAAAAAATGTGTTTCTGTGCTGCTGGAATTTTTCACTAGGGACATAATCTTCTAGAGAAATGAACAAGTCTAGTTTATAATTACGCAAATGCTACTGATTCAAGGAGACATTGAAGAGCATATTAAATATTCTGTCTTATTTACCCTGAGTATGTGCTTTCCTGGAGGTTAAGTTGCCCCAGAATAGTGGATTCAGATGGAATTACAGGCTAGATTGTGGTCCCAGAATTAAAACCAAGAACCTCAGGTATCCATGCAGTCCAGAAAACTGAGGATTTCCAACCTTTAGTGCAGTGATGGCGAACCTTTTAGAGACTGAATGCCAACCTGCAACCCAAAATTCACTTATTTATTGCAATGTGCCAACATTGCAATTGAACTGGAATACTCAGGTTTTAGTTTGGGAAAAAATAACTCATACCTGAACGTATTTTGTTCTAAAATAAAAACAAAATAGCACACGTGCCATAGGTTTTCCACCACTGCTTTAGTGTTTCTCTTTATAAGAAGCCCACAAGCTAAGTGGTGACAGCTGCTTACAGGGAATGAGCAGTAGGTTGGCTCTGAAGGGTCAGGTCAGCCTGTGAGCTTCCCACATGGCTTTCCAGCTCTGGGTCTCCCACAGGCACTGCTCATGGTGATGATGAAGATGGTGATATTCGAGTGGTTAATGTTCATGTGCTTCCAGAAAAAAGATATCCAAGGAAAGGAGAAGTTTAAGGAGGATGAGAAAAAAGTAACAAGTTACTATGGTCCAGAAACCAAGAGCTTAGTTTAGGCATCAGACAATTCTGGTCAACTATCAGCTTTGAACCCTCACTCATTTTTAGATTGCTTTCTTTATTAATACATGTTTGCAGTACAGAGTGTTTACATTGCTTGTGGGAAGCTGGTACATGTACATAAAAACATTAAGAAATCACTAGTTAATAGATTACATATTGTCCTCTTAGAAATAGTTGTTCAAATTACAGGATTAACGCACACAAAGTGGACATTCAAACAGTGAGACTGCAAACAGTTGTGTTTAATGATCCAACAAAAACTTAGTAATATGGTCATCTATCTTAATACACCTAAACACACTTGCAGTTGTATCCTTTAGAGTACTTTTTTTCCCTTTCTTTTTTACAACAACATTTACGCATTTTGGGTTTTATTACTCCCATAGTTCTTGTTACTTTTTTTGGAAGAGAATAAAACCAAATATGACAAAACAAAGCAGTCAGTCAAAACAAAGGATGAACATAGCATATGATGTAAAAACAGAATACAAGGTGATCAACAATGGTTACCATAATGCCTCTTGCTACCTTAAAAAGAATTGCCTATATCATTAGGTATAATAAAATGGAACAAAACAGTACAGAACAAGACCAATAAAACCAAAACATTGGGAGACATTACAGGACTTCAAAAGAAGATAATAGTCAAACCAGAATGGGCATCATAGTGAATCTTATTGCCTTCAAAATAGTTGCCTATACCCTCAAACTTGATACTATTAAACAGAACAGAACAGAGTAAAATCAGTCAAAACAAGATGGTGGGAGCAATACATGGCTTCAAATCAAGTTAATAGGAAATCAAAAAAGTTACAACAATATATTCTGCTAATCTTTTTGATTTTTTCCTTAATTAAAAATAAATAAATAATTTTTTTTTAAAAAAGGGGGAGACTGAGATAAAAGAGGACATAACAACATAACAATATAGGTCAACGCATAACAATTTC